CGCCATCGAAGTTACTTCCTTCTTATGTTGAGATAACAACATCAAGCGAAGCGAACACGTTGTTTCAGGATGTCTCAAGCGAAACCAATGTCTTTCTGTCTCTTTGTAGTTCTTTCTGTCTCTCTTTCTTTCTTTCTTCCTCTGTCTCTCTTTCTCTCTCTCTCTCTGTCTCTCTATCTCTTTCTCCTTCCTGGCCTCTCTATCTCTCTCTCTGTCTCTCTATCTCTTTCTCCTCCTCCTCCCCCTGGCGCCCTGAACTTGTTTATCGCTGGGGTTGATTCTCCAGGGAAAACGAGGCACGTGAGCTACCCTACACGAGCACTTAAAAATTTTAATCTTCATAAAGCGCATGTAATGAAAAAAAATAATACATTTGAATCTTCAGATTTTTTGTCTTATCCTCCTTTCCTCTTCTCTTTATCCTTTTCATTTATTATTCTACTTTTCTTTTTATATATATTATCTCTTTAAGTCATTCCTTTCTTTTTCTTTATGATGTATCTCTCTCTCTCTCTTTCTCTCTCTCTCTCTCCATGCCCCCCCTCTGAACGTTTTTTATCCCTGGGGTTGATTATCCATGGAAAATGAAGCACATGAGCTACCCTACACGAGCACTTAAAAATTTTTATTTTCATAAAGCGCTTGTAAATAAAATCTAATACATTTGAACTTGAGATTTTTCCTTCTCTTTCTCCTCCTCCTCTGTTTTCTTTTCTTTTTGATTTTTTCCTTGTTCGTTTTCATTTCTTATTGTTTCTTTTTATTGTTGTTTTTGTATATCGCTTTCTCCATTTCTCCGCCTTTCTTAAGCGAAATAAGCAATAGTTTGACGGTGTCTTCAGCGAAATAAGCAATAGTTTGACGGTGTCTCAAGCGAAATAAGCAATAGTTTGTGGATGTCTCAAGCGAAACAAGGGATTTGTCGAGGATGTCTCCAGCGAGATAAGCCATTGTTGAGGATATTTCTATGAAGAGTAAACGCCAAGGATGTCTCAAAACGTGCTCGGCCTGGTCTCCTCTTGATCATCTCTTACTTCGAGATTATGCTGAGGTCTGTTGGGCTACTTTGATGATCTCCCCCTGAACCCCGAACTTTATTATCCCCTAGTGTTTATTCTCACGGGTTAGCGGTTATATCTCGTCGGTCGGTTGAGGTTCTCTTGGTGGTGTAGTTGTGCATCTCTGCGTCTCTGGCGGAGTGGACATGTGGCACTGCCCCTGAGGATGTTCGCCAGATTGCGATACTAGTGCTGCATGTACTTCAGCTTCTCGGGGCATTTCGTCGGACTGTGTCTGGGTCTCCTGTGTTTCTCCATCCTCCAGTGGACGTTCAAGTGTCTGGACGGTTGGGAATACCGTAGTCGTGGCGGCTGTAAGGTCCTCGTCGTCCGTAGCGATCGGCATGCTGAGAGGCTGGTTGATGGCGTCCACCACCTCGACGTTACTGAGGCGCTGCTGGGCGAAGATAGCCGCCTGTCGGGCGCCCTCCTCGTGCGTCTCCTTGATAAGTTGTCACTGCGTCTCCCTGTGGTGGTATGATTATATATCATATTGGAAAGCTTCGCGTTGTTCTGCCGTGCCCATCTCAGCTCGCTGCAGTTTAAGCTGAACCTGTTGTTCAGCTTGTAGAGCATTGTAGCTCACCTGCTGCTCGTAGTTGTGCATGTCGGTAATGACACTGTGGAGATATATTGTTTGTTGTATTGCGTTGTCAAGTCTTCTTTTGTGCATGTCCTGCTCGACGCTGGCAAGTGTCTGCTAATACTGGTCGCTGGTCATATGGATAGTGGCCTCCATACGACTGTGTTGCTCCAGTAGCTCATGTTTCGCTTGCATGCTTATTCCCCTTGCATCGCCCAACCTCTGATGCAGGATGTTGTTGTCGTTGTGGTCCTTGATCCTGTCTTATGCCGCTTTGGCTTCGATGCTAGCGATGTGGCCCTCTGCTTCTAGGGTCATGGTGTAGTACTTCTGCGTGTACGCTGCTAATCTTTCTCCGTCTCCGGAATTCCGTTCCACGGTGTCCCGCATGCGGTCGATGTCGGCAAGTTTATGTACCATTGCCTGGAGCTCTCTCTGCAGTTGGTTGTCGTGTGTTGTCCGAAATTGATGTCACATATCAGCTGGAGATCTCTTCATGGCTTAGATCGCCTCCTCCTCCGCCCTGTTGAGCTTCTCCGCGTTGATGGTCTGGATACAGTCGTGGTGGGCTGCCATAGTTTCTGTGGCCTGCTTTGAACTTTGCATCTCTTTCTTCAGCTCGTGCGTGTAGTTAACGGTCCTTGCCGCCTCAAGATGATTGGTTGTTTCATGTCGGCGCGCAGCTTCCTTTAGTGCACGGAGGTGTCTTCTGAGGTTGTTGGTATCGTCGTTGGCTTCGACCTTTTCTGTCTCGACATCGTTGGACATGCGCTGATTGTCGTCCTGAATCCTGGGCACGGTGCCGAGGTCCCGCCCGCCTGTGGCTTCGCCTGCCCTTGGCTGCCTTCTTGGTGCCGGTGATGGTGTGGGCGATCTTCTTGTCGGTATGCTCCTCTGTGGTTGGGCTGCATCGTCGTTTGCAGCTTCTATGTCGCTGTGTCGACCATCTCTGGCGTTGCTGATGTCGCGTTGGATGGTGGTGGGTTCCTCGATGCTGTTCCCGATCTCGTTCGTGTAGATCGTTGCATGCTGCTGGTGGATCCGAGGACACCTGCTTTGACGAAGGCGACATGTGTGGCGGCGTCGGTAGAAGGTAGACCTGACACGCGGTGTTTGACGATGGCAGATGCCGACCTTCGCTCCTCAGCGTGTGTCATATTCTTCCATTCGCACCTCAGCTTGTGGTCGCTGGGAGGTAGCTCCCAGTCGTGCCTCCTGACGGCGTAGATGTCCCTCATGGGCATGACGTTGTTGATCGTGTTGGTGATGTGCTCGTCGGAATTGCTGCTGCTGTTGCAGTGCTGGTCGTCGTCCTTCTTGGGCGTCGTTTCCTTTTCGAGTTGGGTCGTCCATTCCCTTGTTGTTATTGCCATTGCCATTCTGGCTGTTGCTGACGGGATCCTCGTGGTCGTTCTTCGCCTTGCCATCATGGTAGTTGTCTTCCCCGTTAAGGTTTTGGCTGCAGAATTTGTCCATGTGGATGTCGGTCCTCGGCCGATCCACTTGTGGTACTTCCAACTCTCGAGTCCTGCGCCCATCGCTGATGTAGTGGGCCTCGGTGTTGTGGCTCTGGATCGTGGGCGGCTCGATGCTGATCTCCACGGTGATTGCGTTGATCCCGATCCGCTCGCAGTTGATCTCCATGATGTCGCCATAGCTGGAACTTGCGGTGGGTGTCGCGGTGGCTGTAGCGCGCTGTGGCGTTCTTGTAGTACTTCTCGTGCTCTCTGAACTCGAGGCAGGGCGCGTGCGCCAGCACGCTGTCGACGGAGTCGCCTGTGCCAGGCAGGCGATCTGGTTCTAGATCTTGCCGTGGTTTCTAGACGTGGCCCCTGGCTGGGGACGAGATGAACGGTTCAGGTTCTCGATGTTGGCGTGCATCGCGGGCCTGAAGTGGCCACGCTTGGTCGCCGCCGCGACAACCTAAGGGCCTGTCCGTCGGGAGGGGCGGGTTCGGGCGCTCGCGGCTACATGGGTCCGCCACCTCCTCCTCCTCCTCCTCCTCCTCCTCCTCCTCCTCCTCCTTTTCCTCCTCCTCCTCCTGCTGGTCAACGCTGTGCTTCCTACTCCTCCGTTCCTCGCTCCCTCCCTCCCCCCTCCCTCTCTTAGTGAGCGCGCCGGGCCCCGATGACGGCTATAACAGCTCCCGCGAGGGCGTCGTTGCAGGTACAGGTCTGGCCGATCGCCCCATCGTTTCCGAGAGAGCCGCACAGCTGGAGATGGGCTGGAGCCAGCTGGAGGTCTGAGGTGACCCAGCATTGGTTCTGGTAGGTGAGACGGGGGGAGGTTTGAAGTTCTGGGTTCGGGAAGGTTTTTTTTGTCCCTTGCTCTGTCCCCAGGGGCTGTTTTCGGGCCCTGGGACCGTCAAAAACGGATCCGGAGTGAATACTTGCACCGGGTGGACCCCAAGAGGATCCGGGTACCACTTTGGAGCGGAGTTGCTTCTGTCCCCCCGTCTTAACCGATCTTCTCGGGGCCCATCCGGCTCAGACCCCCTGGCCGCCTAAAAGGACGGGGGATGTGCGGACGTCTGTGCTGGCTGGTGAGAGCGTCGGACTCCCAACGCACAGCGGCCACGGGCATCCCTCCTCCTTGAACGGGCCCAATTCGCAAATGAGAAACTGAAACTGAAAGGCGGGGGGGGATGGAGGAGGGAACAGGGCAGCAGCGAGGCGCGACCCATGGATGGACCAGGAGGGACGAGGAGCCACAGGAGCGGAGGAGGGGAGAGGGAACGCATCTACGCCAAAAGCATGCCTGGTCCTCCTCCCTCTCCTGATCATCCTCCTCCTTTGGTACGTTCGCTCCTCCTCCTCCTCCTCCTCCTCCTCCTCCTCCTCCTCCGAGTACGGAGCTGGCCGACCACCCCCTCTCGTCCCCGAGAGAGCCGCACAGCTGGACAGAGAGGAGGGGCAAAAGGCAGCAGCGAGGAGCGGCCAGGGACGGAGAGCAGGAGGGACGAGGAGGCTGGAGCCACGGGAGCGGAGGAGGCCAGAGCGTGGTGGGACGGTGCCATGGGCGAGTTGCCGTGTAGGGAGGCCAGAGCGGAGGATGAGGGAGGAGGAGCAGGAGGAGGAGGAGGAGGAGGAGGAGGAGGAGGAGGAGGAGCGGGAGGAGGAGGAGGGGGAGGAGGACGAGGGGGAGGAGGAGGAGAAGGAGGAGGAGGAGGAGAAGGAGGAGGAGGAGGAGAGAGGCAGGATCCAGATCGAGTTCCAGGCACCTGGTCGCTCGAATCCAAGGCGCTCCCGAAACCCAGGGGTCCCGGGGCTGTGCTGCGGCATCGGAGGTGAGTGTTCGGCAGAGGCGGTGCCTCGTCTTGCAGAGAGCGGCCCCTCTTCGCCCGCGGCCGTGGCCGCGAGGTCCGCGAGGCGGTCCACAAGGCCATGGAGGAGCACGCCGTCAAGGCTTCCTCTTCGCGCAGCAGCCGAGGGGAGCACGAGACCGAGGGGGAGCGGGGGGGGGGGAGGACGGGCACGGCAAGCATGCTGCAAGGTTCCAGCTCTCGAGGGAGCGCGGCAGTGGATGCGGGCGCGTCGGTGAGCGACGTGTCCCGCGTTCCGACCGAGTCGGCGCGCTCCGTCCCCGAAGCAGGCAGCCGTAGCCTCGTGTTTCGGGGGGGGGGGAGGGCTTTCCCCTGTGCGGTGTATCTGGGGCCCACCTGTGAGATCCACGGGTCCGAGGTCCGTGTTGGCGTGTGCCCGATTCGGGGAGGGTCCAAGTCTTCGGATTGGTGTGGTTCGGCGTTCGGCTCTGATGTGCGCATCCTCCAGTTTGGGGCACGAGGTCGATGGCCAAGCTCATGAATCTGGAGATTTGGGGTCCTCTGGTTGCCCCCCAGCATGCCTGGCGCTCCAGCGGGCTTTTATTACAATCGTCGAAGAGACGAGCGGCGGTATGGAGCGCATCCAACAGGATCGTCGGTAGCATATGGTTGCGTACACGCGTGCGTATGTCCAGTATTCGAAAAGCTAGCATCCAAATTGCGCACGAACAGTTTCCAAGTCCAAGGCCATTCGTCTGCAAGGGCACGATGAAGGCAAGTGCCTCCTCATCGCAACACTGTGTTGTATGGTCCTCCTGCCGTGCCCAGTTCTTTGGGCGACAACTGTCGTGCCAGGATGATGCGTGACGAGAGAAGGAGAGAGAGCGTGCCAACCCGACAAGACGCTCCGCCCGCCCAAGCACACGGAACGCCCAAGGGTACCCTCCCCAAGAACATCCAAGAAGCACGAAGGACACCAGGGTACCCTCCCCGAACCGACCTCGATCCTATGCCTCGGTCTGGCCGCATCCCCGTCCCAACTGGTTTTCGGGACCAAACTCGGGCCTCCAGCGGCCGTTCGGGGCGATCTGGGCACCCGCGCTCTCGGCGAGGCGCAGCTGCTGGAGAGCATCCCGGGGCTGGAACCCTGACGAGACCCGGCCCCAGACATGCGACGTCCTGATTTTTTCAGGACGGCGCCCCCCGAAGTCCCGACCCTTTCCCCGGGGCCGGTTTGTCATCCTGAGTCGTTTTTTGACGGTCCCGAGACCAAAGGGTGAAACCTGTAGGGCCGCATCAGGTCACCGAGGCGAACGGTATGTGGCTGGGGAGGGAAGCGAGGAGGGCATGCGCCCCAGTCGAACGATCAGCCTACTACAAGCGGTTGTCCCGTCTTTAGAGCACCACCAAAGCAATTACGGCGACCTCCCCTGCTCCTCCTCCCTCCTCCTCCTACTCCTCCTCTTCCTCCTCCTCCTCCTCCTTCTCTTCCTCCTCCTCCTCCCTCCTCCTTCTCCTCCTCCTCCTCCTCCCTCCTCCTTTTCCTCCTCCTCCTCCTCCTCATCCTCCTCTTCGTTGCCATTTTGGCTCAAGCCATTTTGGCTCAAGTCCACTCAAGACTTGAGCGGGCAGCTCAAACTTTCGAGCCATCCAGTGTGTCGTGCGCTGGCGGATTGTAATCTCTCCCAATTCCACATCTCTGCCGCCTGCGCGGTGCATGCTACGCGCTCTCTGCGCCCTCTTGTGTCTCATTCTTGTCTGTGCACTCCCCCGAAGGGGGCTTGAGGATCAACAATGGCTGATAAACAAGGTCGTGATAAACGTGCCCGTCACCAAGATGCATCTGGTTTCGTTACGCCTGCGGAAAACTCCGACGACGACGACGCTGGCAAGGTTGACGAGCGGTTCCTCACTCTGGTCCGCGATGCTCTCGCCCAGGACGTCAAGCAGACCGCCATGGACGCCATCCGTGATGTCGCAACTGAGGCTGCTACGGCTGCTGCTGCCAAGCAGTTCGCCCAAGTGGACGTCGTCATGGCCCGGGCCCTCTCCAAGCAGGACGAGGCCTATCAGAAGCAGTTCGCATCGCAGGCCGCGCAGGCCATAAAACTACCTGGATCGCCCAGGGCCGTTGGGACGACTCCACGAACCGCGCGAACATCTGGGTCAACGACTTGGAGCTGTCCCGCACCCCCATCCCCAAGGAGACCATGGACACAGCTATCGCGGCATGCCGCGCGATGCACTCTTCTTCCAGCGCCAGTTCTTCTTCAGTTGCTCGGGCTGGTTGGACTATGCACTCAAGTTAGCCCCTTCCTGGCGATGGGGCGGCCGCCTGATCGCACGCACCCGAGATTTCAGCACGTGAGTTGGAATGTGCAGACGCTTGCGAATGCTTCTCCACGGAAGGCCATGGAGAAACTCGACCGCCTTGTCCTCCAGCTAAGGGACGTGGACGTTTTCTTCCTTCAAGAAGTTCACGGTGACCAGCAATATGTTCGTGACTTGCTCCGCCCGCTGGCTCACCGCTTCGATTTTGAATACTCCCCGACCTCCAATGAAATATCTGGCGGCGTACTCACAGCCTGGTCCAAGTCTTGGTCTGGGTCGGCCGAGTGGGCGCATATGTCTCTCGTTCCAGGCCGCGTGTTGGCCTCAACCGCCCAGCACAACGGCATGGAGATAACGCTTCGTCAACATCCACAATTTCGGCATCACGAACGCCCAGTGCACCGATATCCGTAATAGAATGGCGGCCGACTGGGCATGGATGACCGAGCGACCTGAACAGCGTGCTGCCCTCTGGTCTGGGGACTGGAACATCGGGCCTCCAGGTACGGACCGCCACTATCTCGAACGACCAGAACTCCCGCGACCCCATGCCCCTCGCAACCAGTCTGCGGCTGAGCGGGCCCTCTCCCGAGGGATGGACCACCTTATCGAAATACGTTCGCCGCGCTTCACGCGCTACCACAAATCCTCCAACTCGTTGTACACTCTTGACCGCACCTTCCTGGCTGTACCCAGCTCTGGCATGATCAACTTGCACATCGAGCCTTCCGCCCCGCTGGCCCCGATGGATTGCGCCTGGCAGGACATCTCGGACCACGCCCCGTACAAGATTGAGGTGCGATCTCCAACTCCGATCCCTACTCCTTTGCTCCGTATCCCTTGGGATGTGGCCAAGAATCCGGTGTTTCATGCGCTCGCCACGCAATGGATGCAGTACGCCAACATACAACATTTCCGTGGCGTTGACAAGCTCCTCGCCGCCAAATCCGCGCTGAAGGTCGCCTCCATCAAGGCCCGCAATTTGCTAGCACAGCGGGGAGGGCAGAATTGGACCACAAGTATGTTGTTAACTACAGTTTCCAGGTGCGTCTGGCGCAATGATATCCACCTCCACGACATTCTGGCGAGACAGCAACCAGAAGCTCTCCAACACATGGAGATCTACCAGGGCTCTGTTCGACTACGTGACCCCGCCAGGTTCGAGGCGGCCATGGCTGAAGCCAAAACCAGGCAGTTCCAGACGGAAGACGCCAACGCGACGACGAGGAAGCACTCCAAGTCCCGCAAATGCCGCAACTTACGATACCGTAATCTCTGGGTTCCCAGTGCGAAGTTTGTAGTCTTGTCTGGGCTGCAGGTGGTCCAGGCTGACGGTTCTTCGCATATCGAGCGTGATGCGCACAAACAGCAGGAGGCGATTCATACATTCTGGGCTAAGCAGTTCATGGCCAAGGATGTCTCCGAGGATGCCCAACACGAGCTCCTGGCGAAGTTCGGCCGGCGTTGGGACGTGAGCTCCTTACGCCCGCCTGACACGTCCACCTTTTACCGGTACTTGAGGTCTCGCTCTCGCTCCGCTCCTGGTCCTGGTGGCATCTCCTACCCAGCTCTCCTGAACTCCACTGTCATCGAATCGATTGCTGAGGTTGCCGAGTTGTGCTACCAGGGCGTGCTGCCTCTCCGCGCCATGGCTTACTCCTCGCTCGCGACGCCTCCGAAGGGGCAGTACGACCATGACACCGTCGAGGTCATCCGTTCCCCTGACAACCTGCGCCCCCTGAGCGGCCGCAACGCGGACGCCAAAGTGATCGCTGGCGGCACGGCGCTCATGATGAACCCCTTCCTCACTGCCGAGGCTCCGCCTGAGCAGCGCGGCTTCGTGAAGCAAAGGCAATTTACGGACAACATTGTCGAGCTGGACGCGCACGCGGCACAGGCGTCCTATCGCCCGCTGGGAAGCTTCCTCCCCATCGGCCTCGCCATGGACTACGGCACGGCCTTTGTCTCCATGGCGCACAGCTGGCTGCTCAAAATGCTCGTGTCCCAGGGCTGGCCCCACTTCGTCATTGGTTTGTTCCATTCGATGTACGACTTTGCCGTGACTGTTATCCGCGTTGATGGGCATTGGATGCCAAGCTTTGTCATCTACTCGGGGGTATTGCAAGGAGATCCGCTTAGCTCGATCTTCTTTGTCCTAGGCACCGATCCGCCTGTACTCGGGCTTCGCGCAGCGGTCGCGGGAAGAGGCATTTTCCGGATGTGCGCCGACGACGTCGGCATCTCCTTGTGGGACATCCGGGCCTTGACGCGCATCCACGCTCTGTACACCCTCGTCAAAAGCGCGACGGGCCTCGCCGAAAAGCTGAAGACGTGCGTTATGTCTCCCACGGGTGCGCGTTTCACGCCGGCATTGGTCGATCTGATTCGGGACTGGATGAACCTCAATATCCCAGATTGGGCCCCTATTCGAATTGCGTTCTTCGAGTATCTCGGGGTGTTTCTCGGACAAGGCGCAGGCGCCATGCAATGGACCAAACCTACGAGCAAGTTCGAGCACCGTCTATTTCAACTCGGTGAAGCTCACGAGTCGATGACGCAAAACATCTTGGAGTACAACGTTCGCATCCAGACAGCTTTGAGCTGCAAGCTTCAATTTCTCGACCCACCTGTTTCGTTGGTGACCCGACAGGACTCCGTCATTGCCAAGCTCTTCCGGTTTCCACGTGAAGCCATACCTTCTTGGGCTGGTTACCATATTGACCTCTTGGGTTTTCCGCGTCTCACGCCGATCGAAGGCTACGGAATGTCTATTATGAGCCGATTTGCTCTTCACACTTGCTCCGTGTGGCA